TTGATGTACTAGATGTTTTTCATACTTACAAGTGTAGGTAAGTAAATAACAAAATCTGACCATGAGAAGTCTGATGAAATAACTGTCTGTGGCCAGAATATTTATGGGTAAGAAAACAGCGGCAGGACTTGGGGTTGTTGAACTGACAAGAGTCTTCCATTATGAGAAGGGCGATAGGCTAACAAGGAGCTAACTTGGCCCACTTCGTACCTAGTCTCATGTATTTATAGGCTAGTGAAGAAGCTCCTACTCATTATGGAGTCTCACAAAACAAATTTTCTACAGTCATTATACCTGCGAAAAGATGTGAGGGTAAGGATGTGAGGGTGAATCGGAGCGCGGCCAGGGCGAGTTTTATACACCAATTGCACCGTTCTAAGTTCGCGACAATCGGTGGAAAAGCTGCCCTGGCTGCGATCTGGGAGATGGGCAAGAGAATCGTCAATTGTCGCTTCGTCGCGCGCGGCAATGGGCGCGACGTTTCCTTAATTTGCACTACCTTTCGATTGGAGCATCGGATTTCATGTAGACAAGGACATGGTAGACACTTATGTCTATTTTTGGTCATACATTGTCTATTCTCGACCAATACCACCTAAAATCGTCGTCATTAGCAGGCGCGACGTCGCACGCGACGCCCACTGGCGCGGCGAATTACGATTCTCTTGCCACATACCGGCTGCGATCCAATACCCGTTTACACGCCCTCTCGTTTGCAGGGATAATGGCTTCGCATTACGTCATTATGTTGCAGTATATGTACGGAATATCAGTACGAACCCGAAGAAACATATTTTCGAAGGTTCTAACAAGAATACTAAGTTATGGGCAGAAGTAGTGTTGCACGTTAAGTAGGAACACCCCATGAATAAGAGCGATTTCCGCGGTGGTCGCGTGGGCGGAGTCCGGTCTGTCACGGTACCTTTCTCAGTGGTGCACTCATCTTTTACAGGACCTTGAGAAACGGCTTTTGGGTCCTGTCACAAAGAGAAACAATGAGAAGGGCGCTGTAGTCCAGATGACTCCGCCCATAAGATCAACGTGGAATGTGAACTTTAAATCAACCCCTTACGACACCTCCCTTCATGTCCCTCATTTCCCCTACGTTCTCCATTTTCAACAGTCGTCCGAGTTTAGAGGAAACGCCCAAGGTTTCCTTTTGCAAATTTGTTTGCGACAAGCCGCCTCCTTTACGAACGTCTCTTACAAAGATCACCTATATCATACAGCACTTAGTGTTTGGCCTCGAAAATACGAATTTAACCTAAGTGTTTGATCAATGATCTCTTCAAATTGTATCGTGACCGAAAGGACGAAGGAAAGCGCATTTGCGCATGACGGGGATACCCTTCTGACCATTGAAAGCGTGATCATTAGTAACAGAAACGGGTCTTTCTACGCTAACACGGCCTCGGCAATAAATCACCATCTCGAAATAGACTTCTCGCAAACATTCCAGAAGTGTAAACATGTTTACAAATAATTAAATTAACTTTAGCCTTAAACAATTTTTCGAAATTAATGGCGAGTAACCTTTGCCAGAGCTGGAAGATCACATTATTCTGCCAAGTACTGCACCAATTTTCCTCGAATGGACGACGTGCGCTTAAGTTGACAGCTTGCCTAAAGGGCACACATTTACAGCGAACTGGTCCAGAAGTCGCTGGAACAAGTACGTCGCAAGGAATTGTCGCGCAGTACCATCACTCGAGTTCTGCGGACAGTGTGTGAGGACTATCTCGGGCTAGACACTCTCAGCCAACTCGCAGTTCTAACTATTTCTTACTGAAACCCCGAACATGCGATCGCTGAGCAGGAAGTCTTGAAAGGCTGCCGGTAAGATGGATCGTAGGAACATCCAAGTCCTATGCCTTTGGAGCATTCAGGCCCTGTGCCTTTAGGGAACACATAGTGAATGGCACCCAACGCCCGCGAGATCCGGAAAGAGAAGGGACTCCAAAGGTAATAGGGTGGGCACAATTGTAGCAAAATTCCTTAAAAAAGGCGTTTCCGGTGAGAATAACATCAACGAAACCGCCTCGTTAGCTCCAAAACTAATTATTTTACTTCATCATAGCAGATGATCAAATGGCTCCGATATGAAGAGGACTGGAGAAGAGAATGTGAAGCTGAAGAACAGGAATAACAAGCTTCAAGGGAGAAAGGACTTGAAAACTTGAACTAAGTACGACCCTCTAGCTGCCTACGTTCTGCGCGAAAAAAAATGTTGTTTTGAATAAAGCCACTACAGTCGCCCCCATCTTCTAGCAGAAGAGGTATGTCATGTAGAGCTCCAATAGGGCCATATAATGCTGTTTGAGGGAGGCTACTTTGTAGCAATCCTGGCCAAGAGAACACGTAACCGTTTCTGATTAGCCTGAGCAGCTATACTGCCGAGCTACATTTCATGAAGCACTGCGCAAGTCCACGGGACCCACATCTCAAACATCAGCTAACCAGTCTTACAAAAAACAATTGAACTGGTTACTGACTCAATATTGAGTGCACCTCGTTTTGTCTAAACATGGCTGTTTGGCGACCAAGCACTCTAAAGACTTATTAAAATACTCACAAGAACCTGTAGCCTTTGCGCGAGTAACCTCTTGAATTCTCAAAGAAGAAAAACAAGCTGGCTTTTGGATCACCTTCCTAAAACGAAATACTGGCATGTACGGCAGCCCAGAAGCCCTTTGGACTCAACACGCTCTTGATTCACGAGCTTCTTCAGCTTTACGGTTACGATCTCTTGAGGTTCTGTTCTGACTGCTTAACAGAAAATTTCATCTGAAGTTAGGGGTTCAGTTTTGGTGCGTTGAACCTTACCATTGTAGCACATCGGCGTTTAGTATACAAAAAGGGTCTGAGAAAGGTGGTTCCAGTGAGACGTAGAGCAATAAGCTGGTCTAGCGATCTCATGTAAGTTCACACAAAGCTTCTTACAGTTTCGTATACAGTCCCCTTTAAGTCTAGGTCAGTGGGTTCACTCTCAGTGGTGCCTTGGAGAATCACAGCAAGGGTTACTTGAGATGAGCCCATTGAAAAAGGGCCTCAAAGGCAGTCCCCGCACTCGAGCAACCCGCACGCATCATTCCATGTCCAAGTAGTCCGGCCCTCGGTCTCTAATATTATCCCATTTTAGCGGCTTTAGAGTAAGTGACGAAGGCGCTATGGCTCTCATAACATTTCTGAAGCCTCCCACGTAGTTTCGCCCTCCGGAGACTAATCAAAGGCTATTTCCTGACAAGTTCAAGTTTTACATTACATATGTTTTACGTTTTTTATCATTGGTTGATGGTATTAGTATTGAGTGACGCAGAGGCACGACTATTAAAGTTAGCTTGGCACGATAAATCCTTCAAGACGAGTAGGATTAATACGCCTGGCAGGACGGAATTCCGCGACCCTGAGCAGGCGCTGCATAATGCCTTTTCCAAGGAAGGTGCCCTTATAAGGGCCCTATCAAGCCACAACATACCGACCCAAACGCCCGCCACGCCCGCCCGCCCAACTGTTCCTGACGCTCGTATTGATTCATTTGCTAAGCAAATTATGAAGCGAAGGGATTGGTATGAAGCGGCCGTGATGCTGCATGGATATATGAGTACACATATGCAGCCGTACCTTCGGTAGCGGTTATTGGCAAGATGCCTACGGGAAACTCGTCCAAAATTGATTTTTAACACATTGAGAACGGAGGCTCTTTCTTCGCAGGATTTTGACCGTTTCACTCCGTTCTTTCGCCATTTCCCCACTATATAGCGCCCTACTAGCATTTTAGGCCGAGCACCAAATCATCGTGCCAACTGCCTTAAAGTGTGGCAGGAAATAACTTTACTGGCACAAAACGAGCAGGTCTCGTCGAGAGGTGCTGCCAGGTAATTGCTCAGAGGGTTCTCCATGTTTTTTTTTGCTTTTTTCTTCCCTGGAAATCTGACTAGTGACTATAGGTTTGTAAATGAGCGCCACTCCCCGCAATGTACAACCGTGAGGTTCGCCTTTGAGCTCTTGGCTTATTGTATAGAAATGTTGGGTATCAAGCCATGGACAAAACCTCTTTTCAATGAATCTCGGGATCGCAGGAGGCACTTCTCAGAATGCGTTGAAACCACAGCCAAGACATTAACACAGCTTCATTTGGCCCACGCGGGAGCATGGGAATTCAAAGATAAAGTTGACTCACGGCCATCTCCATTTTAGACTTGAAATCACCTAACTATAGATTGAAAGCCTCCAGGAATGTCTACTTCCTTACAAATACAGTTTGTCGGGTGTACTTAGATACCCGGTGGGCGTGGCCAAAATAGGGCGAGGGCTT